TAATTCTTCATGGTCTCATTTCGTTGTGCCTTGTTATATAATTCTTGTATAACTTCGTTGTGCCATCAATATATATATATATATATATATATATATATATATATATATATATATATATATATATATATATATATATAATTCTCTTTATGGAGACCACGCAGCTTAGCCACCATCCTCATCCACACCTGTCAGGTGAGCTGTGGTTCACCCCGAATGTTTACAATATTAGAGCCGGTTCGATTAAGTGACGGCTATTAGGGGCAGATAATTTAGTCTTTAAAGGATTTGAAACTAAGGGGAGATAATAAGTTCTGCTTGATATTTTCATTGTCGTCGGTAAAGGGCTGCTTTCACAGGGCGGGGTGGGGTGGGGTCGGGGTGGTGGAGTGGAGTGGGGGAGGCAGGGTGGGGGTAGTGTCGAATTCACAAAATATGAGTAAGTAGAAAATAAAATAACTAGATAGCGGCGTAAGCTACGTCGCGGGTAATATAATAATTGTCTCGCTTCGTTTTTCCACCAGTGATATAATTCTTCATTGTCTCACAAGTGGCAGAGGCGTAGCGAGGGGGGGGGGGGCGGACCGCACCGGGTGACACCATTTGGGGGGGGGGGTGACACCAAGGCAAAAAATAGCAAAATATATAGAGAAAAGTTTGAGGGGGGGGGGGGGCTGCAAATCGAAAGTTGAGGGGGGGGGGGTGCTAATCGAAAATTTGAAAGGTTGTCCCCGGGAAGGGTCGCTAGCCTCTGGGAGTGACACCATTAAGTGCCGTACCGGGTGACACCCGACCTCGCTACGCCACTGACAAGTGGTATATTCTAATGGACTCAATTAAGAATAGTCTCAAAATTATTCGAAAAGCTGCTCAATAAATATTTTTAAAAATCATGTAGGCCTACGATGTTACTAAAATAATTTTGGTCATAAAAATTTGACTGTTCGATATTTGTTGAACTTTACAAAAGAAGTTGAGGCTTAACGTATTTTCAGTAACTACAGAAAATAATAAACCGGGAGTGATCTCCCCTAAACTTTCTCGAATATTTTTATATAAAATAACAGGGGATGAGAACTCGGGCTATAGACATGATTTTTAATCCATTTTAAATACTTAAAGTTTTAAAAATAGAATTAAATCTCGTAGACAAAAGAATTGCACACCAAGTGAACGCTAAATAAAAAAGTGCATAATAGTGCGCAATATTATTAGTACTTTAAAAATTTACATTCGTTTTTTGAGAAATCGGAAGTAGCTTAAATTACTACTTCCGTTCAACGGAAATGACTCAAAATTTAACAGAAGGTAGATAATTAGATTTTTTACTTACGTGTGAAATTTCGTTTCTCTATCTGAAATAGTACTCAAGTTATAGGCTTTTGAAAATTTCAAAGTAGGAAAAGTACCACTTCCGGTTATCGGAAATCGCTCAAAAGTTGATACGGATCTACGATTTTGATAAAATACTTGTATATGAAATTTCATCAACCTAGCTGTAACGGTACACAAGTTATCGTGTGTACTCACACACACACAGATACACACAGACAGACACACAGACATACGGACAAGATTGCAAAATTATGTTTTTCCGTATCAGTGAGATGTAGAACGTCGAGATTTTTTTTTTGCACGATTACAAGACTTTCTCTATACTTCGTATATACGAGAAAGTAAAAAAAGCCAAAATCAATATTAGATTTTACATTTCTCACAGAAATTAAAAACAAAAAATTCATAAAAAACGTTTTAATAACAAGCTTTTATGTAATGATGCACTAAAAAGTAGAAAATAAATTATAGACTACTATTTAAATAACTATAAAGAAAAGCGTGGGTCACTTTAGTATCTATTGGATACCTTTACTAATGTTAAGGAAGACACCCACGCTTTTCTTTATAGTTATTTAAATAGTAGTCTATAATTTATTTTCTACTTTTTAGTGCATCATTACATAAAAGCTTGTTATTAAAACGTTTTTTATGAATTTTTTTTTCAGTACTTTACATGTTTTATCTACAATAGAGTTACATGACTAAAAACCATTGCGCGCCTACTGAATATCACGTTCAGTAGGCGCGCAATGGTTTTTGAACGCAGCCATTACGTGGTCGTGATGGCGCAGCTATTGATGACGCGTGTGGTGTGGTTGGCTAGACATGCCTACTAATTCGGTCCAAATTTTAATTAATTCATAAAAAATCAATTAGGCATCCAATTAAGTCAAATTTAGTTTCAGATTGCATTGTCTTCATGTCTTGACCCACGTGCCAACTGTGAATCGTGTCGGTCAAGTAGAACTGTCCGAATTTTCACCCCTGCGTTTCCGTCTAGACTGACGACTGACGACAGACAGAATGACGAGGAAGTGAGTTAAATAAAAGCTTGTAAAAATAGCTAAAACTGTTCACGTGGATTACTAATATTAATTGTATTAAAACAATTGTATCGCCAAAGTTTTTCAGTATAAATAACTATGAGTGGCGTTTTTCAGAACATCGATCGTGGAGTTCCTGTACATCCTAAAAATGTTTGTCTAACGAAAGTGAAACTTCAGGTTAACTTAGGCTTTGATGCAAAAAATAGAAATGTAGACGGACTAAAAAAAAATATTTTCTAGTTATTTGGATTAGCAACTTCTGTAACATTGATTCCAAAAATTATTACATTTTAATTATTTTCAGGCTTAAGTTTTTTTAATTAATTTATTTTACCTCTCTTTGATTGTAAAATATGGAAAAAAAAAAAGATTTTTATCCATGTCGACAATAATGATGGAAGGATTTTTGTGAACTTGGTCAAGTCCGTTGAAGCACTATAAAAAAGTGTATAGTTTATGGAAGGCCGCAGACAGTCAGGGGGCTCCTACATATTTCAGCCCGAGGGGTGCTTTTACTATCACATATCAGTTCAAGGGCCAGTTTTCTACAGGCATCTCTTCGGGGTGGCGAAACTACCCCCCCCCCCCCCCCGAAGAATGTCTACCCCTCCTCAACAAAGTATAATTCATATAGAAATATCTACAAATTACAAGTGCAACCCCCCCCCCCCCCCCCATCCCCGGAGAAAAAAAGTCTGAAAGAAACACCGTCAATTTCCGACAACTCACTCGAGGTGCAAGTTTGCTCTCTAATTATTCTTCACGTATTTCATTATTGAAAATGTTTGTTCACACAGTTATATCGTTCCGAAATTTGAAAGGTACTTTGAGGCAAAAGTTTTAATACTAGGAAAGTCTTCCTTGGGCAAAAACTTATTTTATAAAAACCAAAAAAAAACAAACCCACCGCCCTTCTTTGAACTAGTCGCTAAGGAGGTAATTTGCTTGCAATTCAATGACCTCCAGCAGCATTTCATTAGGGCAACTGGCCACATCTGCTTTAAAAGGGGTTTGAAACAGTCTCACTTCTTCTGCCTTTGAATCCAAGTCAGAAAACCACAACTAAAACTGCAGCTTGAGGTCCTTGATGATCTCGCATGCTTCAGCCATGATCATCTTGCATGGTTGAAAGTGCTTCAAGTTGTTGGCCTGTACTTGTTACAAAAACAAGACACGTTTAGGCCTGAAGGCCTTTGGGTGGGTGTATAGATCAGAAACAAGATTTCCCTCTCTTGTAGTTTTAGGTTCAGAAAATTTAAAGGAGTAGTTGTGACGGCAGTAAAGGCCAATTTCCATATCCACTCTTCATCAGACATTAATGGCTGTGACTTGCCTTTACTTTTCAATAAGTCACCTATTTCCTTTCTTAACTTATATACTCTGCTGAGAACTTTCTCACAACTTAGCCGTCTTACCGCTGCGATTCTTTGTCTGTTTCTTTCAAAATGTCTCTGAACTGTCTATGGTTGAGCCCAAGTACTCATGTACTTTCTTTCATCAACAGTCAGGTAACTGAGGTCAGTACAATCAAAGGAATAATCTGCCAATTTTTTAAACTCATTGAATATATCCTCTCCGGTAACAGTGCCATACATGTTATGTAGGGAAGCCAGCTCTTGTGTTATGCTCATGTCTTTATCCACACCTCTAATGAACACAATAAGTTGAGAGGTGGAACAGCTGTCCAGCGACTCATCCATTGCAATTGAAAAGTGGCGAAACTTGCTTGCATTTTTCGCTATTTGAGTCACAATGTTTTCACAAATGTATGCAACATGACGGGCAACGGTACTTGCACCCTAAGCTACATTCTCAAATTGTTTTGAATTTCCAGGGCAAAGTGGCAAAGTTCTTCAGCCACCTCCAACAAACATTTTTTTCCGTGGGCAAAGTTCCTCAGCCACCTCCAACAAACATTTTTTTCCGTGGGCAAAGTTCTTCAGCCACCTCCAACATACATCTTTTTCCGTGGGCAAAGTTCCTCAGCCACCTCCAACATACATTTTTTCCGTGGGCAAAGTTCCTCAGCCACCTCCAACAAACATTTTTTCCGTGGGCAAAGTTCCTCAGCCACCTCCAACAAACATTTTTTCCGTGGGCAAAGTTCCTCAGCCACCTCCAACAAACATTTTTTCCGTGGGCAAAGTTCCTCAGCCACCTCCAACATACATTTTTTCCGTGGGCAAAGTTCCTCAGCCACCTCCAACATACATTTTTTCCGTGGGCAAAGTTCCTCAGCCACCTCCAACATACATTTTTCCGTGGGCAAAGTTCCTCAGCCACCTCCAACAAACATTTTCTCCGTGGGCAAAGTTCCTCAGCCACCTCCAACAAACATTTTTTCCGTGGGCAAAGTTCCTCAGCCACCTCCAACATACATTTTTTTCCCGTGGGCAAAGTTCCTCAGCCACCTCCAACATACATTTTTTTCCGTGGGCAAAGAGATCACTGAGGGGCCGGATGAGAGGACCTCGCGGGTCTTAGTTTTTAGACCCCTGCTCTAGATAAAGTGTGTGTGTGTGTGTGTGTGGAGTGGGGTGGGGGTTAGCGATCATATAAATATTGAAAATCTAAGGTCACGTCAGTGTTTGGCTTACTGTCTCTAAAATTTGATTTCAGGGGAACAAGTGGAATCGATATTGATCTACAGAAAGTTGACATTGATCAGTGCCCAGGCACTAATTCAGCTGAAGAGAATGTGTTTGCTAATTCTTCCAGATGTCGACCACAAACGACACAGGTAAAGACTTGCTATAGTTAGTCATTGAAGGAGTTCCATAATAGATCTGTTAATATGCCGTATTAGTTCAGGTGGTCAAACCTGTTATCATACCACATTAGTTCAGGTGGTCCAACCTGTTATCATACCATATTAGTTCAGGTGGTCCAACCTGTTATCATACCACATTAGTGCAGGTGGTCCAACCTGTTATCATACCACATTAGTGCAGGTGGTCCAACCTGTTATCATACCACATTAGTTCAGGTGGTCCAACCTGTTGTCATGCCACATTAGTTCAGGTGGTCAAACCTGTTATCATACCACATTAGTTCAGGTGGTCCAACCTGTTATCATGCCACATTAGTTCAGGTGGTCCAACCTGTTATTATACCACATTAGTTCAGGTGGTCCAACCTGTTATCATGCCACATTAGTTCAGGTGGTCCAACCTGTTATCATACCACATTAGTTCAGGTGGTCCAACCTGTTATCATGCCACATTAGTGTAGATGGTCCAACCTGTTATCATACCACATTAGTTCAGGTGGTCCAACCTGTTATCATGCCACATTAGTTCAGGTGGTCCAACCTGTTATCATACCACATTAGTTCAGGTGGTCCAACCTGTTATCATGCCACATTAGTTCAGGTGGTCCAACCTGTTATCATGCCACATTAGTTCAGGTGGTCCAACCTGTTATCATGCCACATTAGTGCAGGTGGTCCAACCTGTTATCATGCCACATTAGTTCAGGTGGTCCAACCTGTTATCATGCCACATTAGTTCAGGTGGTCCAACCTGTTATCATACCACATTAGTGCAGGTGATCCAACCTGTTATCATGCCACATTAGTGTAGATGGTCCAACCTGTTATCATGCCACATTAGTTCAGGTGGTCCAACCTGTTACATGCCACATTAGTTCAGGTGGTCCAACCTGTTATCATGCCACATTAGTGCAGGTGGTCCAACCTGTTACATGACACATTAGTGTAGATGGTCCAACCTGTTATCATACCACATTAGTTCAGGTGGTCCAACCTGTTATCATGCCACATTAGTTCAGGTGGTCCAACCTGTTATCATACCACATTAGTTCAGGTGGCCCAACACGAACTAACATCACTATCCGTGCCATGATTGTTACTTAGTTTCCCTTTGAATTGAATGGCAGTTAACATATAAAATAGCTTAACGCCACTACATATCCTACATTTCTTAGTCTGGGCTTGGTATTGAAATAAAATTTTAAGTCTTATATTTGCAATGTTTTGTTACGAGAACTAGAATCTAACTTACTGTTAGCAACGTAAAGATTAGAATATTTACATTGATGGGCAAATTTAGTTCGTCTGAAATGTACTTCGGATGTCGCAATTTTAACGAAGATATTGAAAATTTAAGATCGATCGTTTATGCTATCACCTACCCACCTACCTACCTACCCACCTAAACACTTACCTTTCTACCCACCTACCTACCCACATACCCACTTACCCACCTACCCGCCTACCCACTTACTCACCTACCCACCAAAAAAGTCGCTCTTCTGTTACATATGCTACATGCAGTGTTTCTTCCAGACTTTTTTTTCCGGGGGGGGGGGGGGGGGATTTTCGGGGGGGGGGGGGGGGGGGGTCAACATTTGGGGGGGGGGGGCGGACACCAGTAAAAGTGTATGTTTACTTTATAAATTCCATTTCGTTGGGAGGTGGGGGGGGGGGCGGTAAAAGAGATGCCTGGAAGAAACTGGCTACATGCAGCGAATTATGCTGTTCAGTACATGTTTTGGCTGGGGTTAGGATTGTTACATATAAGTATTCGCATAGATTTAGAGTAGCGCCCCTTCTGTTTACATGTTTTCATTACCCTTCAAACAAAAGTCTATTTTAGTTATATTGTTAGGAAAGTTAAGGGGTCCATTCTCTAATAGGCAGTCTATGTCTCTTTCGTACTTTCGTGTTGGTTTATTGTCGAACTTGTCCTCACCTCACATCACAACAGTTGGGTGACGCTTACCGTGTAATGTTAAAATAAATAGCATGTAATTGAGTTAGTTCGAAGTGAGTTTTCATACAAGCCAAACGCACTGATTAAAGTTGTCGCAAAATGTAACATATATGTAACATATGTCAATGATCTCAATGAATTTTCATTAAAAAAATATGTCTAGTACAGTTTACGAAACTAACGAACTTCGCCGATACTTTTTTCGTGGGTAAGTGGGTAGGCGGGTAGGTGGGTAAGTGCGTATGTGGGTAGGTAGGTAGGTAGGTGGGTAGGTGGGTAGATACGTAAGTGTGTAGGTGGGTAGGTAGGTAGGTGGGTAGGTGGGTAGTAGGTAGGTAGGTAGGTGGGTAGTAGGTAGGTAGGTAGTCGCGTCATGATGTGAAAAAATAAATAAATACATAATTGTTATTTTGGTGCGAATGAATGTTGTTACGAGAGATATGACGAATGCATGTTTGATGACGCGGATGAAAGAGAGTGAAGTTTTTCCATAGGAACGGGTTGTTGTGGTATGCAAGCTAGGTATTTCGGACTAGGGAGAATGTGAAAGATACTTCGTGTAATGTCGATAGTTTTATGTTTATTTATACGAGAACAGTAATTGAATAATTATTGACCAAGAAAATAATAGGCATTGTGTAAAGCCAATATCGCCTGTATCATGGTGATGGAAATGCACATGGTAGTGGTACGCTTTAAATAATAGTAGATCACGTGATCGAACACGACACTCTCACAGCAGCCCTAACAGTCATGTATAAATGTGTCATCTAGTCCATATGGTCATTGTGCTAAATTTCTCTTTTGCACATTTTTCGTTGTGTTTTTTCTAGTTGCGCATTTTTCTGTTTTCGCTTTTTTCTATTTGCGCTTTTTTTCCGTTTGCGCTTTTTTCTGTGTGCGCTTTTTTCTGTTGCCGCTTTTTTCCGTTTGCGCTTTTTTCTGTTTGCGCTTTTTTTCTGTGTGCGCATTTTCTCTTTGCGCTTTTTTCCGTGTGCTCTTTTTTCCGTTGCGCTTTTTGTTTTGCGCTTTTTTGCGTTGCGCTTTTTTCCGTTGCTCTTTTTTCCGTTGCGCTTCTTTCCGGTACCCAATATAAAGTATGAGTGATGTAACGATTAATGCTTTCGGTGATGTCGAAATATGGTCATTCGGATACGATATATTTTGCTCGTCAATCTGCTGTTTGAAAGTTATTGGTCAAGTTGATGTTTAAGTCATTTAGTCAACAAATTGACTAGTTGTATTGATATTTTAGCTGTTTAGTTATTAGATTGATGTATTCGACGTTTAGTGGTCGGACGTTAGGAGTTTCGTGGTGAAATAGATGTCAGTGTTGCAAGATAGATCTCATGGTTGATGTAGTACCCTCTATGTTACAGTTGAAGTAGTCTAGGACATTTGATGTTGTTCTAGGACATTTGATGTAGTCTAGGACATTTAATGTAGTCTAGGACATTTGATGTTGTTCTAGGACATTTGATGTAGTCTAGGACATTTGATGTAGTCTAGGACATTTGATGTTGTTCTAGGACATTTGATGTAGTCTAGGACATTTGATGTAGTCTAGGACATTTGATGTTAGAGTTGATGTAGTCTAGGACATTTGAAGTAATTTACGAAATATTATGTTAATGTTGACATAGTTTTATAATTATGATTCTTTAGTAGTTGAAAGTATTTTATAAATATCGAAAAGTATTAATTTAATACAATGAATAAATTCATTTAGAGAAAAATCTATGCATTTCTAAATGTCTTTCTTTGTAAAAACAAATAATTAGTTAAAACCTTGTATTATATGATTTTAATGAAACTCCGAGGAAATGAATTCATAAACAAGAAAGTATTATCTGGAGGATTGGCTCTAGACAAAGCTGGTATTGTGGCGGCGGGGAGTGTGTAAATAAGATCTTCAAGTATTCATTAGTCCAAACGAGCAGCGAGATAACGGGCGCATCATTACCTGCCCTCGTTTTCCTTGGGGAAGTCAAAAAACTAATTTAGTAAATTGCATTTTAAAATATAAACAGAATTCCAGAAGATTAAAAACTGAATTCGTCAGGACAAAATGAATTCAATAGATTCCAGTGGGAATGCATTAATACATCTATTCCGAAATATGAAATCTTACATCGCGTTTGCTAGTTTTTTATTTCATGAGGTTTAATTATGACAGTATTGGTATATACTTAATTGATACACTAAATATGTAAATGAAAATAGTTTTAAAGTATTGCAGTAATTTGAACATAATTTAGGACCTACTTTTTCAAGAACCAGATAGATCTAACTTTTCCTGAGTTAGCATGTGTAAAACACATTTGTTGCTTTTAGAAAATTACCTCAACGGAGACTTCCCATAAGCTAATAAAAAATGCGCGCTTTTATGCTCTGTGTGACATATTAGAAACAAACGATTTCCTGAAGGTGTATTAAAGGTAAACATAGGTCACGTGTCTGTCAATATATTTAATGGGTCTACCAGAGTTATGGTATTTTGTCTACCAGAGCTATGGTACTTTGTCTATCAGAGTTATGGTAATTGTCTATCACAGGGTTCGGCAACCTTTTGAGACGGAAGAGCCAAAAGTTACAATTTTCAAAATGTCCCAGTTTTTAAAGAGCCACTAACATTTTTATTTTAATATTTGATTAGGACTAGGTAAATAAATGTGATTTGTTATTTAAAATAAATATCCATAAATATGAAATAATATTTATTCATATAAAAACATACACATGTTTCGCAATAATAATGAGTTTAGTAATCAAATAAAATAACCATAGAACTATCCCAATCCACTTGAGAAGAATTTAACTTTTTTTCTCTCTTTAAAGTAAAGACATCACCGGCCCAGGAGGTGTCTGCCATTAGCCAGTCAGGCCTCAACACGGCTAACTTTGACTAACTGGCCTGAATACAGTGGCGGAACTAGAAAAATTGGGCCACCCCGCAAAAAAATTTTTGGGCCCCATATATATATATATATATATATATATATATATA